GGCTTTGCTCTATGGTCTCGGCCTTTCCCATTGGCGCGGGGTGGGCATAATAGTGTCCTCCTGCACCGCTGGTGAGACCGAAAACTGAGGCTCCGGTCGCTCTGGACAAGGGCGTGTGCCTCGCCTGTGGCTCTTCAGGTGGAGCCAGCCGCCTCTGTGACAGAGGGGAAATCCTGCCTCTGCACTGAGCTGCTCTCTAGTCCTGTAGGGTCGTTTTATTGCAGGCTGATTATTGAACAGGCTGATCCAGCACTCGAACAGAGATGAAGAGGGTTAAGTGCAAGGAGTTTGTGATCCTTGGGCCTGGCTTGGCTCTTGTTGAAGTGGCTTAACACAGGATAAGCTGTGCTTGCCATGTTGGCCTTCCCCAAAAGGTAGGAAGGATTCCCAACTGGCAAGAGCAATTCCTTCCACTGAAAGACAGGATGCAAGAGAGCAGGTCGTGCTGGGAACATTGGTAATCGCAACAGCAGTTCACTCATAACTGAGGAGAAGAGCCAAGGGTCATGAATTCACAGCTCTGGTTTAGAATTTGAATCCAAATTCACAACTCTGTGGCCAGGAAGTGAAAATTAGAGACACTGGCAGTCCTAAGGAGTGTGAAGGAGTCAGTTCTTTTCCTGTTGTGTAATGACGGAGAAAATTCTGCACACTGATACATGCTGAATTGCTTTATTGCATGTTTTCTATTTAGTAAGGCAAGTGAAGTTGCTGCCCTTTGATTTCGTCTCCATTTTCCCTGCTGTTGCTATCCAAATGCTGCGCAATTGTTTTCAGTTAGAAGACAATGTAACAGATAGTATAACAGCTTTTCTTTTTTCTTCTCCCAAACTAGACTGGGAACTAGTGTTTTGGGTAACCTGGTACAGTAATATACATCAGAGGCAAGGCAGGAAAGGAAGCAGCAACATAATTTGTAGCTATGCATCTGCTAAAGTTCTTCCTCTCCAATTCTTTGCCTGTTCAGATTTCAGCTATTAGGAAAAACAGCCTTTCTCTTTGTATGTGGATTTTCATGCAGCATGGCCCAAATCATAGGCAGGGCTACACACATACCCAAGCTACAAAAAAGTCCCCAACCTTTTCCTTCCAAAAAAGTCCATGGTAGCATAGTTCTTCACAGATCAGAATGACAGGCACAGGAAGAGCTCTGTCAAGATGTGGAGGTAACAGTATCTGGAGGTCTGTAAATGTAGGGTGGTAGAGGCAGAGTAACCACCTAGCCTGAGCTTTGCTACTGCGGGAAGATACAATAAGCTTAGATTGTTCTCAAAAGACAGTTTTCTAAGTAGCTTCTAAGAAGCAGTTGAGAAAGATTACTCTGTGTTTGTCCTATATAAATTGTTCCAGTGTTTCACTCCTGATAGTGTGACGCGTACTCCTGTCTCATTGCAAGTTAAGCTGATTTCTCGTCTTTCCCTCCTCTCCCCCAATTCTGCCTGAAAAGGTGAAAAAAAATTATGACACTACTTGTTATGTGTTAAAGGTTCTTATGTTCTCCGCTTTTTTGTTGATCTTGCTTCTCTAGACTGGGATGACTAGGAAGAGGTGGGGGGGAAAGGGAAGATATTTCCTCTTGATCTGGAATTGGATCACAACATTATCATTGTGTTATGTAGCATAACAGTAACAATAGTCTTATATTTTGATAGGATGAGGGCAGTTGTTCTTAGTCAAGTAGCTTGTCTTTTTTTCCACTTCACATTAAGCTGCTTCTGAAGACTGTGTGGTCTATTAGAAGAGAGATCTGTAACCTTGGATCTGTAACCTTGTAGCTGTTATCAGAGTGGAGAGCCATCCCAGGCACCCTGCCGGTGCAGTTTACACCTTTTCAAAGAAAATTGGGATGTTTTTTGGTTACAA